GGAAAATATTAGCGTTTCGTGTTCGTTTTGACTTCGTGTGGACGGGGCCTTATACTGCTGCTTTATCCGTGGGTCCTTGCCTTTTGTTTAACTAGCTCAAAAAGACACAATCCTGTAGAAAAAAATGCTGGTACCATCCTACCGTGCATTTAACACTTTTTTCACCAGGCAAACCAGGCTACTGCACTGAAAAAATCTACATAGTGTGGATGCAACAGATTTCATGCGGCATATGTTGCATACAATAATGATATTATTTAATCTTTTTTTTTGTTTTGGTTGGAACCAGTCTGAGCTGGCTGATTTTAAACATGCCAAAACGTAATGTTTAGAGAAAATCATTCTCTCCTTCTTAAAGTTCTCCATTTCAGTATGATAATATTGTTTTTTTTTTTCACAGAATGGTTGTTTTGGAACAAGCAACAACAGGAATACATAAAAACAAACACTGCATCTTGTCTCAATCCTTGCATGGCCTGAAAGAGGTCTCTATATTTAGCTCACTCTCTTGGTTGGTGCCCTGCTGAGTGTCTTCAAGCCTAATCGGCCTCTTTTAAAGTGTTTGTCCAGAGCTGTGATGTGTTGAGGGAGAGAACAACAAAAATATTGACCATAGAATGTGAAGCCTCGAAGATTTATAAATAACTTAAGAGGAGCATGGAGATCCAATTATCCATTCCACCTTCAACTGATTTTAGTCTCCGCTTTGATAAGTTCAAAGCATTTACTGTTAAATATCTAAACTCTAATTGTTAAGTTTTTATAAAGACCCTAAAAATTGAGAATAATTATTGGCACAACCTGTTAGATTATATTAGTTTGCCTCCTACAAGTGGCTAGATGACCTTTGTAACTCGGCTCCATGAATAATAGACTTTTATCCATTAATGACAAGCATCCTCTCCACCATGCATTTGTCTTGCTCCCTTTATGATAATGCGTTCAAACGAGCTAATAAAGACTCTTCTATTATAATCCTAATTAACCGGAACCAATACTGCGGTAAACAGAAATGTTAATGTTTTGCCAACATTAAGTGTATTTTTTTAATCAATTTGTTGAAGATTGTTTAAATAGATCTCCTGTTCCAATTTAAATTATCAGGATTCTTCTTCTAACTTGGTAGATCATTACGTACCGGTCTGAAAAACACACTATCATGAAGAAGCTTTTGGCTGCTCTATGTACCTGCAGTATGACATGTTTAACATAGTATTGATTCACAAAAGCAAATGTCGTCTCATTTAAATTATTTATAACTAGTTTAGAAAGTTTTTTTCAATGGGATTTTGTAGTATTATCACAGAAAGAAGTTTAGAAAAAAACATAAGGATGAAAACACAAACCCCCAGTTAGAAATCACATGTGATATGTTTTATCCAAGGTGCCGTAAAAATTGCAGATGCATTCAAATATAGTTTATCTGCAAAGTCAGTAACCCAGCAGTTTATAAGAATGTTTGAATAAGCTAATAGGAAAAGGGTTCTTGAAAGATATGTGCTTATCAGCTTAACGCTTTGTTGAGAATTTATTGTTAAAGAATTGTCTGCAAAATTTTATGCAGTTTTTCTTAAAGTGCTCTGCATTTTAAAAAAGTTGGAAGTAACAGTTGTTCTTTTACTCTATCAAACTATGAAGGAGACTTCTAAAAATCATGGGTATGTGCTTAAAAGTAAATAACTGTGTCATCTACATATAAGTTAACCACGATGTTTAAAATGGTGTATCACTGCGTATTATCCATACAAAAACTTTGCCATGATTTGAACCCTGTTAGGCACCCATATGACTATGGTTACACTATCGATGTATATAAAGGTGGAGGTAACATCAGTCAATAGCAAAATACAAAAAATCCAGTATGCCTTTTGTGTTCTATGATCAATAAAAATCAAAAGGAAAGGAGGATGAGAGTTGCAATCCCATCTCATTAAAAAAACAAATGACAGCAAACTCATCTAATGAGAAATAAGTCGTGAAGAAAGCTAGTTAAAAACATGAAATCTTAGTGGCTTAATTTAAACATACTGTGCACTGCCTCAGTTCTTTGCTGTGTGACTTTAAATTAACAT